TGAGGCTTCCGTCATATGCCTTGCCGTACATCGGCATATCAGCACTCTGTTATCCCATTCCTAGCACGCTACCTCACGTGTGAAGAAACGGAAATTGAGAAGTTGAAAGCCGATCTGTCTCCATAGTAGCTGTGGATATCGTGTAAAACTTTAATTTTGAGTATTACATGACCTTTTGCCTTTGACCTTTTACCATGACCCCTTATTTATCTTATAATTTGTTCTCCGTGAATGGAGCCATTTTTGCTGAAAGTTCAGGATCCTCCATTCTAAATATAGCATTCTTCTCTTTCTTTCGAGGGAGAATATAAAATTTCGGAATGGGATTCCGCCGATCGGTTACGGGCCTCATCCGCCCCAGTCTGACTTGGGCTTCAATATTGCGCAGAACCAACAGCCGCGATGTGGGTAATGATATAGGTAAAATATTATTACAGAATAAGAGAAGAGGGACCTGAATGATCATTTTGAGCTTCTTAGCAGTCAGCAGCGAACCATAGCTAACCACGGTTTGTGCAACAACCGAGGCTCTAACCTGCGACTTTTTAGATGGAAGTCTACAGGCTCATTGTCTTACCCAGGAAGCGACTAGGACTCTGTCAAATGAAGTAAAATGGTGTTGAAATGGCCGGAAAGTCAAACATAATCGATTGACTAATTGATCGTATGACATTTATCGGAGTTTCCCTATGTACGGGACAGAAGTTAATCCAGAGTACTAAAATGAATTTTCTAAATGTAGGATATTTTTCAGGGACACTAATAAGGAGTTACTTGGGAGTTGTTTGAGGTAGCTTTAAAAGGTTTCACAGACAATGCTCATATCACGGCAGTGATCTAAGATATTGCAATACAATCGATTACAAAAGAGATAAGGAAGCCGAAATGCATAAGCGACGGATTGATTCCAAACTCAGTGGGAGGGCCGAGACGGGTCTTGTGAAAACATGACCGAAAATAATGTTTTTCTAAAAGAAACGACGATTGTTGCTTAGTCTTAACACGTTTTACTACATTTATAGGCAGCAGAAAAGGCACCTTTTGTAACCCAATGAATTTTAAACAGTTAAGATTATGAATTCGGCCGCAATTTGTCAGTC